TCAAAATCATTTTAAAAAAATATATTTTATTGATTTTTTTACAGAGAGGAAGGGAGAGAGAGGGATAGAGAGTCAGAAACATCGATGAGAGAGAAACATCGATCAGCTGCCTCCTGCACACTCCCCACTGGGTATGTGCCCGCAACCAAGGTACATGCCCTTGACCGGAATCGAACCTGGGACTTTTGAGTCCGCAGGCCGGCACTCTATCCACTGAGCCAAATCGGTCAGGGCCAATTTTTATTTTGTTGTTGTTAATCCTCACCCGAGGATATTTTTCCATTGATTTTTAGAGAGAGTGGAAGGGAAGGGGGATAAATAGAAACATCAATGTGAGAGAGACACATTGATTGGTTGCCTTTTGCACATGGCCAGGGATCGAGCCTGCCACTCAAGGTACATGTCCTTAACTGGAATCGAACCCAAGACCCTTCAGCCTGCAGGCCGATGTTCTATCCACTGAGCCAAAACAACAAGGCAAAGATAAAATTTTTTAAGGATAGAAAGGTTTGGATGATAAGAGTACTTAGAGGAGGGTATCTGGATATTTTGCTAATAAAAGTGGTGGTATAGGAGGGGGTTTGTTACTAAATAAATTCTATCAAGATTATACTAGTTGTTTTCTAGCTTCACTAAGCATATGAAATGGAACCCAGGTTAACTGAAAGACATGTCTTATTGAGAAAGGCTGTGAAATCTATCTAAAAGAACTTTAAATTGGTGCGATGCCAAGTTATATAGTGTACTTGGGGTTGACCATGAAGATTTATTAAAAACAGCCCACCAGCAAATACTTACTATTTATTGAATTTCTACTATGTACTGGCACTTTTCAGCATTGGGATTAGCCATGAGCAAGACAATCCCCTTTTTTTAAAGCAGCTTACATTTTATTTTATTTTTTTTATTAAAAGTATGTTTTTATTGATTTCAGAGAGAGGAAGGGAGAGGGAGAGAGTTAGAAACATAAATGGTGAGAGAGAATCATTGATCAGCTGCCTCCTGCATGCCCCCTACTGGAGATTGAGCCCACAACCTGAGCATGTGCCCTGACTGGGAATTGAACCTGGACCTCCTGGTTCATGGGTCAGCACTCCACCACTGGGCCATACCGGCCAGGCACAGCAGCTTACATTTTAGTGGAGGAGACTGTCAAGAGAAGAAATGCCCAAACCTGTAAAAATTTTTATGAGTTTATTTGAGCCAAACTGATGACAGTTGCCAAAAGACAAAATCTTAAGGGACTGGGAAAACGCTGCAAAGAATGGTGATTCATTGGTGATAGATTAGGAAGGCAGGAGAAAGCAAGGGTGTGGGGCGGGGGGGCATTGGGCGGGGAATCTCTGGAATTGGATGAAAAGTAAAACAAATAGACACACTTTTACATAGGTGGTATAGGAGGATAGTTAACAGTTAACACGATAACAAAGAGGCGATTTGTGGTCTCTGCTCTGGTGTGGTAGTTGTGCTTTGAGGGGTGGGAGTGGAGGGGGGAGAGAGGAAATTACTTTGATATTCCAAAGGTATGTTATCAGGTATGTTATTATAGATGCACAAAAAAGACAATATGCAGGCTCAGTTAAGGTGAAGATTGACCTTTGTTATGGAAAATTACTGGCCATGAACGGTTTTTAGTTAAAAAGTTTTACTTTCAGACCATCCTATGTAGTTACTTTAGGTCTCTGAGTTTGTAAGACCACCATGTAGGCCTCCCCTGAACTTGTCAGGTTTAGTATGTGGCCCCTTTTCAGCCACAAGACAAACATTAAGAAGTGAAAATACAGAGAGAACCAAGATGGCGGCATAGGTTAACGCCGGAGTTTGCTGCTTTGAACAACTACTTCAAAAGTGAAACCAAAAAACGGAAGGGACATCACCCAGAACCACAGGAACGCTGGCTGAGTGGAAGTCCTACAACTAGGAGAAAAGAGAAACGCATACGGACACTCAGAGGAGGCGCAGTGCTGAAGTCAAATTCTGAGGTGCGGAGTGCGCGGAGCGGGCTGGCGGCGGAGGGCGCGGTTGGCGGTTTCAATCGGGAGGGAGTCGCAGAATCTGAGCTCCAGATCCGGGCGAGTCTTTAGGGACCCAGACTCAAACGGGAGAAGCGGGACTGTCTGGCTTCGGTCAGAGCGAGTGCAGCTTTCTCTCCGAGGCTTGCAGCGGTCGCTGGGACTCAGAGAGGCAGAGCCCCTGGGGACAGGACTGAGAGCCGCCATAACTGCTCTCTCCGGCCCACCCTGTTGATCCTGTGCGACCCGCCCCGCCCAAGCCCTGCACACAGGCACTTGCCGGATAGCCTCAGGCAAAGGCTAGATTAGCACCTCCCTAGAGGACAGAAGTTCTCTCACTGCTGACACAGCTGATTCTCATAGCCACTTGGCCTGGAGGTCAAACCCTCCCTGGAATTAGCTACAACAATCAAGATTTAACTATAAGACTGCGAACAAAGACCACTAGGGGGTGCACCAAGGAAGCATAACAAAATGCGGAGACAAAGAAACAGGACAAAATTGTCAATGGAAGATATAGAGTTCAGAACCACACTTTTAAGGTCTCTCAAGAACTGTTTAGAAGCCGCCGATAAACTTAATGAGATCTACAAGAAAACTAATGAGACCCTCGATCTTATATTGGGGAACCAACTAGAAATTAAGCATACACGGACTGAAATAACGAATATTATACAGACTCCCGACAGCAGACCAGAGGAGCGCAAGAATCAAGTCAATGATTTGAAATGCGAGGAAGCAAAAAACACCCAACCGGAAAAGCAAAATGAAAAAAGAATCCAAAAATGCGAGGATAGTGTAAGGAGCCTCTGGGACAGCTTCAAGCGTACCAACATCAGAATTATAGGGGTGCCAGAAGATGAGAGAGAGCAAGATATTGAAAACCTATTTGAAGAAATAATGACAGAAAACTTCCCCCACCTGGTGAAAGAAATGGACTTACAGGTCCAAGAAGCGCGGAGAACCCCAAACAAAAGGAATCCAAAGAGGACCACACCAAGACACATCATAATTAAAATGCCAAGAGCAAAAGATAAAGAGAGAATCTTAAAAACAGCAAGAGAAAGAAACTCAGTTACCTACAAGGGAATACCCATACGACTGTCAGCTGATTTCTCAACAGAAACTTTGCAGGCCAGAAGGGAGTGGCAAGAAATATTCAAAGTGATGAATACCAAGAACCTACAACCAAGATTACTTTATCCAGCAAAGCTATCATTCAGAATTGAAGGTCAGATAAAGAGCTTCACAGATAAGGAAAAGCTAAAGGAGTTCATCACCACCAAACCAGGATTATATGAAATGCTGAAAGGTATCCTTTAAGAAGAGGAAGAGGAAGAAAAAGGTAAAGATACAAATTATGAACAACAAATATGCATCTATCAACAAGTGAATCTAAGAATCAAGTGAATAAATAATCTGATGAACAGAATGAACTGTTGATTATAATAGAATCAGGGACATAGAAAGGGAATGGACTGACTATTCCTGGGGGGGAAAGGGGTGTGGGAGATGCGGGAAGAGACTGGACAAAAATCGTGCACCTATAGATGAGGACAGTGGGTGGGGAGTGAGGGTGGAGGGTGGGGCGGGAACTGGGAGGAGGGGAGTTATGGGGGGGGAAAAAAGAGGAACAAATGTAATAATCTGAACAATAAAGATTTAATTAAAAAAAAAAAAAGAAAAGAAATTTAACAGGCAGATGGCTGTCCTAGCAAATGCTGGCAATGCCTCAAACACAGTGTCTCTGCATTCATTCTCTTCTAACAGTGTGCTAGAGAGGCGATAGGCACAGAGGATGTGGCTACTAGGGCAGGGGAGACAGGAGAAGCTGCTGAGCCAGAGAGGCCGGAGAAGCTGCTAGGGCGGAGAGCTCAGATACCGCTATGATGTCAGGCAGTGAGTTTAGAGGCAGCTACTCAGATAGTAGCTACAGGTACACAGGCTATTAAGGCTGTTACTGCTGTGTGGGAAAGATGCATTTATCAGCCGGTGTGTGGCTACCTGTATAGGACTTACTATGAAGAACTATGTTGTCTAATGGCTCCTATAATAAAGACTCATTCTTATACACCTACAAAAAAAAAAAAAAGAAGTGAAAATACAAAACAATTTCAGGCAAGGGCTAAGAAGATGATAAAATACGGAGAGTGACTGGGGGTTTGCTTTAGTTGGGACAATGAAGGCAGTCTTCCCTTGAGGGAGGTATTTAGGATGAGATAAGAATGAACAGGGGCCTGGTTGGGAGACTGCAGTGAAAGAGTTTTTATATTCCACTGGTTTTAGACCATCAGCTACCTCAGTGGTTTATATCATTTTACATCTAAAATGTTGTATTTTCCTGGCTGGGTGGCTCAGTTGGTTTGAGTGTAATCCTGGTACGCCAAGGTTGTGGGTTCGATCCCCGGTCAGAGGACATAGGAGAATCAATCAATGAATGCATAAATAAGTGGGACAACAAGTCGATGTTTCTCTCTCCTTTCCTCTCTCCAAAATAATTTTTTAAAATGTCGCTGTATTGTAAAATACTATGATTTGCCTGGTGATGAAATAAATTCTGTGGTTTGCTTATGTGCAAGTATAGACCTTAAAATTTTGTTTTAGAATTTTAAACTCAATATAGAGACCACATAGGAATTGATTCCTCTGGCTAAGTGGAAATCACAAATATGTGACTCCATACTGATCTAATGATTTCAGCAACGCGTGTCTCCAACTGTGTTTGAGTGTAAGTGTGTGTGTGTGCTTATGGTAGTAAAACCTTCTAGAAAAAGAAAATGCAAAGTGAGAAGTCTCATTTCAAGTTAGCTCTTTGTGTTTCTGCCTTTTTGCAGAAAGTTGAAGGGAAAGTAATGGAGAAACTAGTTTAGGGAAATTTCTGGCCACTCTGTGGGATTGGGAAAAGTAAGAGGTTTCTGGACTCTGGAAAGTTGGTTGGCTTGGACGCAGTTTGCACAGATACTGACACTGCTATCTTCCCTCTGGCAGATGGCTCAATCACAAAGGAGTGAGACAGAAACGTCTAAATGCCTGGCTGGGAATCAAGAATGAGGATGCTGATGAGTAAGTTCTCTCTGTACCTTTCTGTCAGAGGGCTTTGTTCCCGATCTAAGACCTGGGCCTTCTTAATACATGTTAAATATTGGTTTTTATTGTCATTTGAGGACACTGAATTAGGAACTTTGCTCCTCTTTTGAATTGAATTTTCTAGAGTACCCTATAGGCATTTGAGTTCAGAGACCTGCCTAACTATATGAAACAAAAGCATTGGTCTGAAGGTCATTCAGGCATCCACGTGTCAGCTTGTTGGATGAGACATGTGAATTCTGTGCTTTCTGTACCATAGCAAGTAATGAAGTTGTTGAAAAGTATCCAACTAATTAGAATTTCATTTTATCATTTTATGGATAAAGATTTAGAAGAGAGTTTTATTTGTGAATTTGCTTTCAGATATAAGTAACCTGATTGATAGAATAATACTTTAACATTTAATTTTTAGGACCTATTTTATCAATGAGGAAGATGAAAACCTGCCCCATTATGATGAGAAAACCTGGTTTGTTGAGGATATCAATCGAGTACAAGCAGAGGACTTGCTTTATGGGAAGCCTGATGGTGCATTCTTAATTCGTGAGAGTAGCAAGAAAGGATGTTATGCTTGCTCTGTGGTGTAAGTCTTCCTGGGAGTACAACCTTTTGAAAACTTCTGCATTGATTAAAAGAAAATCAGTCTCTCATAAAATTCAGTAAAATTAGTTCAGGTGCAGTAATGAGGGCTCAGGGCTTATACCATTAATATTTTATTTTTAATTTTATACACACACACACACACACACACACACACACACACACACACACTAGAGGCCTGGTGCACGACATTCGTGTACTGGGGGGTCCGGGGGCTCCCTCAGTCCAGCCTGTGCCCTTTATCAGTCTGGAAGCTCTCAGGGGAGCCCTGGGGAGCAGGCCTAAGCCGTCAGTCGGACATCTTAGTGCTGTCACAGAGCCTCCCGCCACTGCCACTGCGCTCACCAGCTGTCAGCCCAATTTGTGACTGAGTGGCGCACTGACCACCAGGGGGCAACTCCTGTGTTGAGCGTCTTCCCCCTAGTGGCCAGTGTGCATCATAGCAACTGGTCGCTCTGCCATTTGGTCGATTTGCATATTACCCTTTTATTATATAGGATTAAATTCTTATTTATTTATTTATTTATTTTAAAAATATGGAACGCTTCACGAATTTGCTTGTCATCCTTGAGCAGGGGCCATGCTAATCTTCTCTGTATCGTTCCAATTTTAGTATATGTGCTGCTGAAGCGAGCACTAGGATTAAATTCTTTATTGTTTAAAGTATTACATATGTCTCATTTTCCCCCCACTGATCTCTCCCCAGCCGTTCCCACTCCCCAGCCGTTCCCACTCCCCAGCACATGCCCTCACCCCCCTACTGACTATGTCCATGGCTTATGCTTATATGCATACATACAAGTCTTTTGGTTGATCTCTTAGACCAGTGGTCGGCAAACTGCGGCTTGGCAAACCGCGGCTTGCGAGCCACATGCGGCTCTTTGGCCCCTTGAGTGTGGCTCTTCCACAAAATACTGACTTCTGCTCATGGGCCACAAAGTTTCAATTGCACTGTACGTGCGCGCCCACATGTGGTATTTTGTGGAAGAGCCACGCTCAAGGGGCCAAAGAGCCACATGTGGCTTGCGAGCCGCGGTTTGCCGACCACAGTCTTAGACCATTAGTATTTTATAAAGAAATCAGTTTCTTTAGGAGAAATGATATCTGAAATCATTTTAGGGGTTTTAATTTAAATGGTAAGTAGATTAGGCCTTGCAGTATTGCTATTGGATTTTAAGTATTTGTGAAAAGTAATGTGAGATCTTCCATTGAAAAGGTAACTTAATTCTTTTTTTAAAATATATTTTTATTGATTTTAGAGGGGAACGGAGAGGGAGAAAGAGAGAAAAACATCAATGATGAGAGAGAATCATGGATGGCTGCCTCCTGCTTGCCCCCTACTGTGGGAACCAGGACCTTCTGGTTCATAGGTCCACACTCTACCACCTGCCTCGCATGCTGGGCATCACTTATTCTTTAGTAGTCTTCTGCGTGCCTAACTTGGTCTTCATTATCAGATTTAGGAAGGCTTGATTAAATAGAAATGTTTTTACTTCAGCAGAAAAACTCTATCTAAATTTTGTACTTAAATAGTATTCTGTTGGGTAGTGATAGGTAATGTTGGGTGTTTTCCATAAGATCATCTTATGAATTTGTTTGGAAAAGCCTATGTAACTTTTAATGGAAAGTGAAATTCTGGGGGCAACTAACCATATGTTGGTCAGATTTTTGCCTAAGTGTTATGTATATTCCTTAGAAAGGCAAATTTCTTCATTGACAAAGACCATACTTAGATAAGAGGCTTAGTATGATGATTATGAGAGCAAGCTTTGGTGCCAGATGTACTGGATTCAAATCCTGACTCTGCTCCTTACTAGATGTATGATCTAGGGTAAGTTACTTAACTTTTCTTTGCCCAGTTTCATTATCTATAAAATAAGGATAATAATAATATCTACTTGAAGTTTTTTTCAAGTACTTAGTGACTTAATATATGTAATGTAACGTGTGTTGATCAGTGCTGGCTCACAGTAAGTACCTTACTATATTATTGTGATAGTGATGCTACTGATGGACATGGCAGCAGGCAAGCAAAGATGACCAAGTGTTTTTCCCCTCAAAGAGGGCAGTGTGGTGAGGATAAACAGAAGGTACTCATTAACAGAGTGCTCAATGCTTTACATGATCATCTATCTTGTCTTTAGTGGTCTACCTCTGTCATTGAGTCAGAGTTTGAGTCCAAGTTTACCTGGTTTCAAAGCCCACATTTTTCTATTGCAACACACTTCATTTCACAATTAAATATTGAAGATAAATAGAATCACTGTGAAATGGTATAATTAGTTGCCTGTGCACATGAAGAACTGTTAATTCTGGTGGAGAAAAAGAGGATTGGGAGGTTTTGCGGAAGAGGTGGCATTTGAGCTGAACTTTGAAAGGATGAATAATGAGATACCTATGGGCAGGAAATGGGAGGAATTGAAAAGTACATTGGATTACTGTTTTCCAGAGATAGGGCTACTTGGAAAACCTTTCATTTCTCTGAAACATGGACTGCTCAAGTTATATGAGTAGAAATGGCAGGAGAGGATGGTTCTTGTAGGATTTGAGATCTTTTAAGAACAATAAAAAGAAGGAAGGTGATAATCCCAGTGCATTGGTTCCTCACCCTCACCCCAGGTCACTGGGTCGCAGGCTCACATAAATCCAGGGAGACCAAGGAGCAGCTTGAATATCTTAGGGAGCTGTGTATTTTTTTTCTCCTTTTTTTAAAAAAAAAAAAAAAATATATATATATATTGATTTCAGAGAGGAAGGTAGAGGGGAGATAGAGATAGAAACATCAACGATAAGAGAGAATCATTGATTGGCTGCCGCCTGCATGCCCCCCGCTGGGGATTGAGCCCACAACCCGAGCATGTGCCCTGACCAGGAATCGAACCCTGACCTCCAGGTTCATAGGTTGACATTCAGCCACTGAGCCACGCCAGCCGGGCTTTTTCTCCTTTCTTTAGCCACAGCCTTGGCCAGACTCAAGTCCACAGCAGTGTGGATTTCCCTTGCCTATTAAATCCAACTACAGTCATATATCAAATTGGAGTTCACATTGAAGATTTTCAGAAGCAAAGAGTCTGGCATCACAAAAACTTCCAGTTGTTTGGTAGCCACTCTGGCTACAGGAAGCCTGCTTACAGTGATCTCCAATCATTAAGACATTTGCTAAAGGAGAGACATGAATAAGTTCAGTTTTTTAGGAGACACTCATACCAAAATTAAAATGATGATGTAGTAGGAAGCAAAAGCATGGAACACCTTTGTTTTTCCATTTTGATTTTTGTTAATGACATCATAAAAAATCTTCAGAATTATCTAACTTTATAGCCTTCTGAGAATAAAGACCTACAGTCAGCAGTGCATATATTTCTCTAGATTAGGGAGTCAGGTAGTGAGCACTTGTGATCTTGTTGTTGCCATTTGGGATACAAAATTTGATTAGGGATAGAACAACTAGATAGATAAAGGAGGAAACAGAAGACTTGAACAGACTATAAAACAGCTCGACCTAACAGACATGTTTAGAATATTCACCTACCAATAGAGGACACGTTCTTCTCAAGTGCACATGAAACATCATTCAGGATAGACCACAGGTTAGACCACAAGTCTCAATAAATTTAAAAGGATCGAAATAATATAAAATATGTTTTCTAACCACAATGGAAATAAATCAGAAACAAAAACAGAAGGAAATTTGGGAAATTTCACAAATGTGGACAGTAAACACATTTCTAAATAACCGGTAGACCAAAAAAGAAAATAAGAAAAGGGAAATTAGAAAATACTTTGAAATGAGTAAAAACAAAAAAACATATAAAAACGTATGGAATGCAGTGAAAGCAGTGCTAAGAGGGAAAGTTATAACTATAAACATTTATATTAAAAAGATCTCAATAGCCTTACCGTCTTCTACCTTAAGAAACTACCCTCCCCCCACAAAAAAAGAAGAGCAAATTAAGCCCACACAAACAGAAGGAAAGGAATGATAAAGATTAGAATGGAAGTAAATGAAATAGAGAATTAAAAACAATTGAAAGTCAGTGAAACCAAAAGTTGGGACCAACAAAATTGACAACCTCTAAATTGACACACACACACACACACACACACACACACACACACACACGACACAAATTACTAAAATCAGGGTGAAAGAGGAGACATTACTTGTAGTCCTTATAGAAATTTAAAATGATGATGAGGGAATACTACAAAACAATTATATGCCAGCAAATTAAATAATCTAGATGAAATGTACAAATTCCAAGAACACACAAACTACCAAAACTGACTTAAGAGGAAATAGAAAATCTGAAGAAAACTGTAGCAAGTAAAGAAGTTGAAGTATTTATTAAAAAAATAAAACTACCCACAAAGGAAAGCCCAGGCCCAGTTGGCTGTACTGGTGAAGTCTATCAAATATATTTTAAAGAATTAACACAAGTTCCTCACAAACCCATACAAAAAATAGAAGAGGAGAGAACACTTCTCAGCTCATTTTATAAGGGTAATATTACACTGATAGCAAAACCCAAAGTTTTTTTTGTTTTTGTTTTTTTAAAATCTTTATTGATTTTAGAGAAGGGAGAAGGAGAAAGAGAAACATCAATGATGAGAGAGAATCATTGATCAGCTGCCTCCTGCACTGGGGATCAAATCTGCAATCCAGGCATGTACCCTGACCGGGAATCAAACCGTGACCTCCTGGTTCAGAGATCGATGCTCAACCACTGAGCCATACTGGCCCATACAAAGTTATCACAAGAAAAGAAAACTATAGATAATTGTAGTAGGAATTATCCCAGCAATGCAAGGGTGGATCAGTATAAATCAATCAACACAATAACCCATGTTAATAAAATCAAGGACAGAAATTACACGATTATTTTAGTAGACACAAAAAGCTTTGATAAAATCCAATAACTCTTTTTTTTGCAAGGCAAATATCTTTACTTCCACCTACATTTTTGTTGTTGTTGTTGTTAATCCTCGATCGAGGATTTTTCCCATTGATTTTTAGGGAGAGTGGAAAAGAGAAGGGAAAGACAGAGAAACACTGATGTGAGAGAAACACATTAATCAGCTGCCTCCTGCATGAGCCCCAACCAGGGCCCGGGCCGGGGAAGAGCCTGCAACCGAGGTATGTACCCTTGACCCGAATCAAACGACCCTTTTGGTCTGCAGGCCGACACTCTACCCACTGAGCCACATCAGCTTGGGCAATCCAAACACTCCTTTATTTTAAAAAACACTGAACAAACTAGGAGTAAGGCTACTTCCTCAACCTGATAAAGAGTTACCTGTGAAAACCCACAGCTAATGTCATACTTAATGGCTGAAGACCGAATGGTTTTCCCTAAGATAGGAAAAAGACAAGGACGTCCACTCTGACCACTTCTAAATATTGCACAGAAGGTTCTGCCAGGGAAGTTAGGCAAGGAAAAGAAAGAACAGGCATCCAGATTGGAAAGGAGTAAAATAAATGAGTTCATCAGGGTTGTAAGTTAAAAGATTAGGATACAAAAATCAGTTGTATTTCTATATACTAGAATGAACAATCTGAAAATGAAATGAAGAAGACGAGTTATTTATAATAACATCAAAAATGATTAAATACCTGGGATTAAAACAAAAGCAGTACAAGAGCTGTGCAATGAAAACTGTAAAACAATGGAAGAACTTAAAGAAGACCTAAATAAGTGGACAGACATCCAGTGTGTTAAGGTGGCAGTGCTTCCCAATTGGTCTACATGTTCAATGTAATCCCTTTCAAAAATTCCAGCTGGATTGTTGCAGAACTTGACAAGATGATCCTAAAATTCATGTGACAATGCAAAGGATCCAGGACAGCTAAAATAATCTTGAAAGAATAGAAAAAAGTTAAAGTACGCCTCCTGACTTCAGAATTTACAACTAAGCTATATAATAAAAACTGTGAGGCACTGACAGTCGGGTAAACATGTAGATCAGTGAACAGAATTGAGAGTCAAGAAATTCTTACACTTACGGTCAATTGGTGTTCAACAAGGGTCTCAAGACCATTCAGTGGGGAAAAAATAGTCATTTCAACACATGATGCTGTGACAACTGGTGAGCCACATGCAAAAGAAGAGAGTTGGACCCCTACCTCACACTGTATACAAAAATTAACTAAGAATGAATTATAGATCTAAATGTAAAAGCTACAAGTATAAAACACTTAGGAGAAAACATAGGCATAAATCTTTGTGACTTTGGGTTAGGCAGTGGTTTCTTACATATCCAAAGTACAAACACCAAAAGAAAAAATAGATAATTTGGTCTTCAACATAATTAAAAACTTTTTTTCATCAAAGGAAACTGTCAAAAAAGTGAAAAGACAACCTAAAGAATAGGATAAAATATTTAGAAATCATATATCTGTTAAGCAACTAGTGTCTAATACATAAAGAACTCTTAATAGAAAGACAAATGTCCCAATTTAAAAACGGGAAAAATATTTAAATATACATTTTTCTTAAGATATATAAGTGGTCAATAAGCATATGAAAAGTTGCTCAATATCAGTAGCCATTAGAAAACTGCAAATCAAAACCATAATGAGACACCACTAGGATGACTATAAAATAAAAAAGATGGACAATAAGAAGTGTTCGAAAGAATGTGGAGAAATTCAATCCTCTTACACTTCTGGCAGGAGTATAGAAAGGTACAACCATTTGGGAAACCAGTTTGGCAGTTCCTCACAAAGCTAAACCATGTGACTCAGCAGTTCCACTCTTAGATATACATCCAAGAGAACTGAAAATATATGTCCATACAAAAACTCATACACCAATGTTCAGAGCATCATTCATAATAGCCAAAAAAGTGGAAACAACCCAAATGTCCATCCATTGATGAATGGATAAACAAAATGTGGAATATCCACACAATAAAATATTTATTCAGCTATAAGAAAAAATGAAGTACTAATACATGCTACAACATGAGAGACTTTGAAAATAGTGTTTTAAGTGAAAGCCAGGTACAAAAAGTTGTGTGATATTATATGATTCCATTTATATGAAATGTCCAGAATAGGCAAATCCATAGAGACAGAAAATAGGTTAGTTGCCAGGGCCTGGGGGGAGGGAGGAATACAGAATAATTGCTATATGTTTTCTTTTTAGGGTGGTGAAAATATTCTAGAATTAGATCGTGGTGATTGTTGCACAACCTTGTGAATATTCTAAAAATACTGATTTATACACTAAAAAAATGTTTTTTGGTTTGTTCTGCCCCTCTTAGTATTCTTGCCTAAGTTGAGTGACTACATGGAGCCATCCATTTTAGCTTTACCAGGTCTTGGTGGGAGGCGGCAGGTCTGTAAGGGAGTGATGGAGACACACATGGATGTGACATTTTACAAACTTGGTTGACAAACATTTCTGCTCCTCCTCTACAAAATAGTTGCTTTCAGGCTTCTGGGATCCCTTTATTATTTCCTGCCTTAATTCCGTGGTGTTTGCATGTTGTATCTTGCAGTGCCGATGGGGAAGTGAAGCACTGTGTGATCTACAGCACTGCCCGGGGCTATGGCTTTGCCGAGCCCTACAACCTGTACAGCTCGCTGAAGGAGTTGGTGCTCCACTACCAGCAGACGTCCCTCGTTCAGCACAACGACTCCCTCAACGTCAGGCTTGCCTACCCTGTCCACGCACAGATGCCCTCGTTCTGCAGATAAAGTGGGAGTGGGAAGAGAGGTGGCTCTCTAGCATTTTTTCTACAGTTTTATTAGACTATGAGGGCATTCTTTCTACGTAGACTGCTTGTTTTGCACAAGAAGTGATTCTGTGAATGTGAAGTGGAGAGGCCGAGCAGCAGCGGTCAGGAGGGGGTGTAAGGGGCCTCTGGATCTTGGGGACCCAGCTGTGCTGCTGCACTAGCATAGGAAGCTGGAAGCAGATGTGGTTTTTGGGAAGTCTGTTTCACTGGGGTTTTTGTTTTTTTTAGACAGGCACCCTCAACAGAACACATTAGGCTTGAGGGGGTCGGGGGTTATATCTGGAAGCTTCTGCAGAGTCCATGTCCTCTTTGGGTCTTCAACTCTGAGAATGCGATGGGTGTGGCTCTGTGGGAAGTTCCGTTTTGATCTGGCAATCTCTCTTAACTTCCTCCCACAGAGAAGGTTGTTTTGGTTCTGTGGTAGAATGGCATTCAGTGAAAAAGACAACCAAAGGAGAATGGGGAGGCTTGGGATTTCATCTACAGACTCTCAGTCAAGGGGGTAAAAACCCTTTAGCTGAAGGTCTTGTGTTTCTTAATCAACATAACGTAGACATCAGCATCTCATAGCTCCTCTCTCTAAAAAACATTGTTTAGAAACCAAATTGATCCCAGAAAAACAATGTTTGTTACAGGGCTAAGGTCTGATGGAAGAAGGCAGCACTCGTGTCTGAATGCATAATTCTGTACCGAAACTTGAAAATAAAAAGAAAGCTAGAATTTGTTAGTTTTAGCAAACACTAAAATTGGTCAGTGTAACCCCTCTGCCCTGCCCTTGTTTCTCTAAGGTGAGGAATAGTGGGGTTTTTTTTGTAGGCATGGTAAGCTTTGAATCATAAAATGAAGTTGGTGCTTGTGTGGTGTTTCCTTAGCCTAAAGAATGATCTGTTGTTTGAAACCTTTGTAACTTGTTTGTATGAGTAAAGAAAAGGTGCAATCCAGTGCTTTTAGATGGCTTGATATACCAAATAATGATATAGAACAACATTCTTACATGTGCTTCCCCAAGTGTAAAGGCCCTGCAGAAACAGTGATCACGTTAATGACTCACCCCTGTCCTTTGCTGGGTAGGGCTTCAGGGCATTCATGGGTTGCTAAGGCTGTAGCAGGAAGGGACGAGATTGGGGGCAGGAACCTCAGTGTATCACAGACCCAGGGGCTCCGGTGTCCAGGGCAAGGATTATACCACATTACCCATGTGCTTCCATACTTTTGTCAGGAAAGGATCAGATGGTTTGGAGTTCAGACTGTTAGTAAAAACCATCTGGAGGCTCTTCTCTGCCTCTTCTGTGATCCTGCCATTAAGATGATGTGCACAGACTGTCCTGATTTTAGGCCAGGATCTTCTGCTCCATGTGGTTTAAGCCTTCCAGCTGAGTGGAGCTAGGCGAATGGAGTTGGCGGCAGGCATCTCCTCCTACCTCCATTATGCCCTCCCCCAGCAGTTGACACTCATTGGACAAATAGAATTCAGTTGCCTCTGAGCCAGTCCTGGAACCAGAATAGGCTCAGAATGAGTCAGCTGTTTGAGCCCAAAGCTGTGCAGTCAGGCATCCTGGCTGAGCTATGCAAGAAGCCAATAGCTGGGTCTTGGTACTTAGGCTTACAGCTAGGAAAGCTCTCGTTTTGGGGATGAAAGAAACATATTGCTTTTCCTGAGCATTTATCTTGGTTTCAGGGTCTAAAATGAACTATGACATAGAAATTAGACATAGATGAGGATAGGAAGGAAAGGGCATATCTTTGGCTTTTCCTTGGTTACGTTGCAGTTTCAAAATTGGATGAGGCAGACAAATGAAGCCCCTTCAGTGTCACTGTTCTAACTTAAGCCCTTAACTGAGTGAACTGCACATCCCTTCCCCAAACTGCCAGATTGAAATCTTGCTGGAAGTTTTAGAGTAATGGCAGGCTGATTGTTGCTAGACACACCTGGGTAGCCTTGCACCTGGTGTTGAACCTGCTTACACGGTTAGTTGCTCAAGATTGGGTGCAAGGAATCCCTCCTTTCTGGTACTAAAATTTAGTGTGCTGAATGTCTTAAATGAAAATGGGGATAAGGATACACAACTGTAATGTTGAACTGTATGTTGCTCCTTGTCAGGCAGGTGTTAAGGGTGTGCAGGGAGAGAGCTAGCGTCATCTGTTATCTCACTTGGGATGCTGGCTTGTGGAGAAGGGCTGCTCTTTTTTAGTCCTACATTCCTTCACTTTTTGTTTCCTGTTTTTCATTCTCCAATTTGTTGCTTTGTGGGGACTAAGACCTAGGGATCATTTGAGAAATTGAAAGTGTCTTTGCCACGATTTGCTTGATCCTGATGAGTCAGTGGAAGTGGCATAGGGACCATGTGGAGCAGTACTATGCTGCTTCTTTACTCTGTGGTCTAGGCAGCAAGCCTTGGCCTCCATCTGAGTCTAGTTCTGTGTCCTGGGATGCTTTTTATGGCCTTATTTATGGCATTTATGGCATCTTAACTGCATCCTCACTGAGGCAGAGGGTAAAGAGACAGAACAAGACCAGAGTGGCCCATTGCTTTCCTGGCTAGAGAAGCCAGCTACCAACATGAAAGCAGCTTGGGGCAGGCTGGACATAGCTCCTAGGCCCATCTATTCCAGATGGAGCTTTCATCACTGAACAATGTTCTGTCACACTAGGCCATAGATGCTAAACCTTGGCCATGGCTCAGGCCTCTCCAGGGTAGCTGTGTCCTTATTGCTGATTTAGTCAAGGTTGAGGAATCCTAATAACACTCCTACCCCATTTCATTTCCAAGCCCTGATGGCACCTCCCAGTTATTTTGGGCCTCATGTGCTCTGGGAACGCTTTTTTGAGAGCCAGTATGGTGTCTTCCATGGGTTTTTTCTTGCTGCAAGGAACCAGCCTCCTGGGTCCTCTTGGGCCAAAAATCGCATCTGGGCAATTCCTAGTTTTCAAGGTTAAGACTCCAGAGTAGTTCTCTATGAGGCTTTAGTGGCCTCAGAGCAGAGGGTCCAGATGGGGGTCTGTCTGGGCCCTCTGCTGCCAACTGCTCAGCCTTGCTCCAGCTCCAGCCACTTGTGACAACCTTGTTTCCTTACAGATTCCAGCATGTGACTTTGGTGCCCTGTTGTTACTTGTGAAAAACCTATTCTGTTGTCTTTGATGTAGTCAAAAAAATTCATGTAGTTTACGTAAAAATACCTGATTCACAAGGAAGCCAACTATATGTCTTGTGTTGGGACAGTTCATAATGTAGTTCCTAGACCACTTTTGCAAATTGTTCTCGTCACCAGATGTGTTCAGACATTGCTGTGCAGTTGTAGGGGAGGGTGGGGGGAAGATGGGGAAGATACTTTTTGGTCTTTTTGTTTTGGATCTTCCCCAAGAGGGGACAGTTTGGCCAACTTGCTCCAGTAATGCAATAAAGACATTTCAATAAAGTACCTTTTTGTCCTCGTGCTATAGAGGGAGGTGGTTTGGGGTTAGGAGCAAGGGGAAGACGTCTGGGGTGTTGAAAAGCCCTGAAACTTCCAAACCTTCTCTCCCATGAGCATCAAAAGATTGGTCCTGCAGCTGAACTGGGGCCACCAGAGGCACTTCTATCCCTGAAGAAGAGGACGTCGACCCAAACAGGTATGAAGCCAGAATCCTGTCTGCCTGACACAAGACACATGGAGACTCAGAAACTAATCTGAGAAAGTTAAATCTGAGAGCCATTTCCTGCTCTCCCCATTTCTGACAATTAGAAAGCCCAGTTTATTGATTCTCATCACATCTTTCTGCCTGGAAATAAAGGTATTTCCACATTCTATTTTGGAGGTAGGGGAAATGGGCTCAGGCTTACGGTTTGTCCTCTTGTTGCCCCAGGCCCTTGTCACCAATCTGCCAGGCACTTTGTTGAGGTTCCTATGTGTTGGGAACATAGTCAACAAACAAGCGATGACCTCTGCTTGCACAGAACATTGCAGTTCTCATCCATGTCTCAGGCCCCATGGATGGGCACTGACTTACAGATCAGATCAGATCAGGGAATAGTTTCCTTGTTCTAAGTGACCTTGCCTATGACCTCCCTCACTACATTTTAGCTACATGGCACCCCCAAGGCCACTGCTAGGGATTATGGATTATTTCCCCAATTCCAAGAGTTGCTTCCACTCTACATAAGACCTCAAATACCTATCTTCAGTCCAGTCCTCTCTTCTGTACTCACCTGCTGGCTGGATATCTCTACTAGGAACTTCAGCATCCCACAGATACTGCTAACTTATTTACAGAGAAAACATGCTTGATTATGAATTCCCTTATCTTCTTACCACCAAATTAAAGGCATAGGAGTACATGGGGACTGTACATGAAACCTATCTGTATTCACAAAACTCCTCTCCTGCTCACCTATTAAATTACACGAGGTAGCCCTTGGGTCCTGTTTTCTCTCACCTTCTCAGGAACCTCCCATGATCAGTTAGCAATTCTTCCAACATTGTTTCCTCTCAGTTGAATCATCCACTGACATTTGAACATGGCCTTTATTGCCTAATGTAATTGGAAAATCTGATTATGGGCCTCAAATATCCTAAGCATCATGTCTCTCTCCATCTCTGCTATGCCAGCTCATGCGTGGTTTCACTTTGTGTATAGGCTCTCCAGGTGGACACATGGCCTCCAGCAGCCCAGACTCATAGCTTCTGACAACTCCACTGAGGAGAGGTGGTCTTTCCAGGTCCTGACTGCTTGCTTGTTTTATATATCCATGGTGACTATGGCACAGTATCCATGAGAAGAGGGCCTTGATAGGCTCAGCCTAAACTATTTTTGAAAAAATGGTCTAAATTTGTCTTTATTGCCTCACCTCCTTAAGCATTTCAGTACAGTTTCCACCATTACCTGAAACTGCTCTCCTTCATGTCTTCCAATAACTATCACTGTTGACTATTCTCCAGGAAAAACTCTACCATTGGCTCCATGACAACTCATTCATCTAGATTTCCTCCTGTATCTGTTCATTTTAATTATCCTGGACCCCTGCTCCTTTCTCAGGTATGCCTTTCCCCTGGCAGTTCTACCCATATCCATGAATTCACCTACCATCTCTAAACTAAGTATGTCCATCTGTTTCTCCTGCTCAGACCTCATATTCAGTTTACTGTCTGCATGTCACCACATTGTCCGCTTTCTCTTCCATTATCTCAGTGAATGGGAACAAGTAACTCATCTGCTTATGTAAGTCTGAAATGTAGATGTTATTGATACCTTCTCTGTTTCATGTCTAAATAAAACCCACCATCAACCCATACACAAATCCAACTTTGTAAGAATCGAAGGTATCACTTCTCAATCCACTGCTTCACTATCATCTCTAACTTCCATACCAGAAGGCCTCCCTTCTTCCATTCTTGACCTCCTCAAATCTATTGTTATAGCAACTGGAGTCGTCTTTTCAAAGTACAAATCTGAAACTGTAAAACCATTAAATAACTTTCAATCGCTGTTAGGGTAAATTATAAAATTCTTAAAATGGTATGACTTCTGCCGAAACCGGTTTGGCTCAGTGGATAGAGCGTCGACCTGCGGACTGAGGGGTCCCGGGTTCGGTTCCGGTCAAGGGCATGTACCTGGGTTGCGGGCACATCCCCAGTGGGAGATGTGCAGGAGGCAGCTGATCGATGTTTCTCTCTCGTCGATGTTTCTAACTCTCTATCTCTCTCCCTTCCTCTCTGTAAAAAATCAATAAAATATATTTTAAAAAAAAAATGGTATGACTTCTCCCAAGTTCAGGATCTTATTCCCCACTTCAATTACTCTTCACTGGCTCCCTCCCTTTGGGTTATTCCTAATGTCTTGGGCCTTTTCCCTTTTATACATATTCTCTGTACAGTCCCCATGTACTCCTATGCCTTTAATTACCAGCTATTTGCTGATGGCTGCCAAATCTGTGTCCAACTCCCTACACCTTTCCTCTAAGACAGTGGTTCTCAACCTTCCTAATGCTGTGACCCTTTAATACAGTTCCTCATGTTGTGGTGACCCCCAGTTTCATTGTTACAAATTGAACATAATTAAAGCATAGTGATTAATCACAAAACCAATATGTAATTATATATGTTTTCTGATGGTCTTAGGCGACCCCTGTGAAAGGGTCATTTGACCCCCAAAGGGGTCGTGACCCACAGGTTGAGAACCGCTGCTCTAAGAAAACTCCTGTTGTCCTAGGTTAGACCACCATAATGGGTCACTACATTTTCTTTCTGGTCTGCTTATTCTACTTGAGCCTCTCTATACTGCAGTCAGTGATCTTCCTAAAACATAAATCTGCTTATACCACTTCCTGTGGTTACCTCCCAGAAACTCCTCACTGCCCTCAGGCTTATCAGGCAGTTTCTCAACTGCCCCACTAGCACTTACCCCATGCATTACAGGATGCTTAGCATCTCTGTGCCTACTCCTCCCAGCCCTCCTCTCCTGCCTGCCATTTCCAACCCCTTAAGGGGCAGGCAGTCTCTCTCCCATAAACTACTGTAAGTCGTGCATGCCCCAGCCCCTTCTCCCCATGGTGTGGTCCTTCTAAGCAGATCCTGATGTACATGGGGGGTGGACTCCCTCAGGCAACCAGTTACCTTTATTCCTTGTGTCCAGTGCAGGGGTCGACTATTAATGAATGACTGAAGGAATAAGTGAGTTCACGAGGGAACTGGAAAGGCTGAGGGGCCAAATGTCCCACTTGTGGGCTTTGCATTGTGGGCAGAGCACGCCCTCTGGCGGCCACAGCCTTCCCCATGCAGGGTGACCAAGAGCTGCAGGGTGCTTGAAACACCCAGCCAGTGACCCAGATACGTTTTCCAGTTTCCAGGCCTCTTGTTACCTCACCTTTGGCCCAAGGCATTGGATTATGGGACAATAGTGCAAGACAGCAGTTTCATAAAGCCCTTCGTCATCTGGAGGCACTCTTCTAGCCGTGGCACTCTCCCTGAGCCCTGTTCCTGCGAGGCCATGACTCCTCCAACAGAATGTCCCAGATGTCCTCCCCCCCCTCGAATACCACCCACCCACCCAGTGCAGTTCTACTCACTGTGGGGGCTGCCCAGGTCTGCAATGTCCATCTCCAGTGCAGAGACCTATCTGAATAGCCCAGGAAGGGCTCACTGACGACAAACATTCATGACTTGTTACTGAACACGGGAGGTGGTTCTCTATTTTCATCTCACCTGGCCTCCCAGCATTTTACCAAGTAACTCCACCCGTTTTAAAACTCTTCTCTTGGATTTTATCGTGCCCTTCTGGCTGCTGCTTCTAAGTCTTTCTTTGTCTTAAATGCTTATGCCCCTCAGTACATCATTTTTTAAATTTTATCTATTTTTTGCTGTTTTATTTTTTTCAGCTTGATATTCTTTTAAAAATAATTCTTTATTGTTGAAAGAATTATGCCGGAACCGGTTTGGCTCAGTGGATAGAGCGTCGGCCTGCGGACTGAAAGGTCCCAGGTTCGATTCCGGTCAAGGGCATGTACCTTGGTTGCGGGCATATCCCCAGTAGGAGATGTGCAGGAGGCAGCTGATCGATGTTTCTCTCTCATCGATGTTTCTGACTATCTCTCTCCCTTCCTCTCTGTAAAAAATCAATAAAATATATTAAAAAAAGAAAAAGAATTACACGTCACCTTATTGATACATTAATGGCTCTCAGTTTTCTATCATCAGTCTAGCTCTCTATCGCGTTCGAGACCCATACATCTAGTTACCTTGCGGATGTCCCCCAAGTACCAAGTTCAACTCTTCACCTCCCTCCATCTTTCCGCTTCCATTTTCTGGCTAAGAGGCATTCTAACTTGGGGTAGATGTGTGGGTTCTAGAGTGAAGAGATATCTAGGTTCTAGTCCTAGCTCTGCCCAAGCTATAAGATTCTGTTAATATCTGAAAACCCGAGTTCCTTATCTATAAAGCAGGAATATTAGTCGCTACGTGACCTTCTTGGGTTCTTTATCACCCACGGAAAGTCTAAATTCTTGTAAGACCATCAGTGTGACCCTTGCCTAACTCACTACACCCATTTCCACTTTTGGTTCCTTGAATATACCAGGCATATGGTTAAGTGCTATACTCTCTGCCTAGACAGCCTTACACTAATTCCTACTCTTCTAACCCAGCAAATTACTACCTATTACCTATCCTTCAGGTTTGAGCTCAGATGTCATAATCGCTGGGAAGCCAAGGTGGGTTAGAGACCCCTCTCCTGACAGTAGAAACTGTTTTAGTCACTCTATTATCAGCAATAACATAGGACTTTTGAGTTACATTTGTGTTGACTGAGGAAAGAAGCAAGCAAAAGACATAAAGATGGTTTCTAAGAGCATGTATTATACAGATCTGAGTTAAGAAATGGCAGACAACTGCTATGTTTGCTTTAAAAGCTCATTGGTTGCCACTGCCAAGTCCTGATGCTT